AAAAAAAACACATGCACAACCTTGCACCAGAATTAACAGGGTTTTTGGTGCACAGGTTCTTTTTTTTTGTTTGCAAGCTGACATCTCTTGAGAGCCCATTTTCTTTGTTCTGTCCCTAAGGGGATTAAACAAACTCCCCTCCTCACCCAGGCATTTATGTACAGCCCAGGTAACCTGTATCCCCAACTACCTATACTTAGGTTGGTTCCAGTTGGATAGCTCTATGCCTGGCCAAACAAGAGCTATAACACACCTATTCTATGTTAAACAGATGATTGGTTGTTGTGGGTTTTTCGGGCTCTTTGGCCATTTTCTGAAAGTTGTTCTTCCTAACGTTTCGCCAGTCTCTGTGGTTTTTAGGGCTCTTCGGCTGTGTTCTGAAGTTTGTTCTTCCTAACGTTTCATCAGTCTCTGTGTTCGGCATCTTCAGAGGACTGGAGTAGCACTCTGTGCTCTGGTGCAGTTTGTTTGGGAGTTGAGTATAGCTGTGGGATCAGCTTTCGTCCTTTTCATGAGATGGGTGATTATGGGTACTCAAATGAGAATACTCCTGTCCTCTTAAGATGCTGGCCACAGAGACTGGTGAAACGTTAGGAAGAACAACCTTCAGAACACGGCCAAAGAGCCCGAAAAACCCACAGCAACCATTAGATCCTGGCTGTGAAAGCCTTCGCGAATACATTAAACAGATGATTCTTAGTAAGAAAGAAAGAAAGAAAGAAAGAAAGAAAGAAAGAAGAAAGAAAGAAAGAAAGAAAGAAAGAAAGAAAGAAAGAAAGAAAGAAAGAAAGAAAGAAAGAAAGAAAGAAAGAAGCAGTAATAGGAAGTCCAAGTGGAAGATGATGGTGGCTGCCCCCCTCTCCCCCTCTTGAGTTTCTGCAAATCAGGCCAAGCAATTGTATGGTAGAGGGATCCTCTGGAAGTACTGTACCCTTAATCCAGCTGCCTCTGTATTTTATTCGTCTTATCGTGCGCTGGGTACAAGAAAAAACAGAATTTTTTTTTGAAATTGTGTCTACACTGATGGAAATTTGAGATTTGGGGTGCACTGCCTCTCTTGAGTTCCCATTTCTTGCTACTGTACATTATCTGGACATGCATAGAGAGATTTTATATATATATATTTCTGAATGTTGTACTTTTTAACTCCTTCTGAGCTTGGTAATAACACTCTTCTAAATGTCTTTACAAAACCCCAAATGGCTTGGAGTGTGATGGCATTTCTTGGAATCGGGGGTGGCAGAGGGGAAGAGGTGCCCCACTGGACAATGAGTGACACACACTGGGCAATGAGTGGGCGGATGTCCTGCCAGGCCATCTGAAGGCTTGAACCCCAGGCCTTTCTTAGGTTGTTTTGTACAGTCTCCTCTGGTGACCTGTTGCCATTGGTTTCCATCCTGTTCAGTTCCAAGGGTTGCCAGCCAGTTTTAATAATTTATTGTATGAGTTTGAGTGAGTTAATTAATCAGTTAAGCGACTGAATGCATACAGAGACATACAGGTAAAACAATATTACATCTGGGAATAAAGTGTATCTTCCTTATTTTTAAGTGATGCATGCTATGTGACACCAGGTACAGCGTGAGGCAGAAGCGGGGGACTAGAAGATATGGTTTTTCCTCCTCCTCCCCTCCTCTGCATTTCACCTGCTACGACTCTCACTGCTTTTATCCCCGATAGTGACAAGAGATGATTAAACCCGGGCTGGACAGAGGGACTGAATTTTAGCCAATCTCCTCTCCCCTCCCCATATTGGCCGCCTTCAGATTACAACCTCAGTAAACCAAGCGGTATGCATCCTTTTAAAAGGAACCTGAAGCAGAAATAAATATTACAGATAACCCTTAATGCTGGGTTATCTATAATGTTTGTTTCTGCTCCAGGTTCCTTTTAAGAACTGGAGAAATAGATCCCGTTGTTTGTTGACATTCTCCCCCCTTCAGTCTCCTCTCGGCTATGCCACCTTAGTAACATCTACCAAGTTTCCCTTCCTCCACCACTCCTCTCCAGCGGCTGGCCGCCCTGTGGGGATAAAAATACCAGGATTCCATATATTTGCTTCTCGGAGTGGTAACATATTGGTGGAGAGGAGAGAGGAATGGATTTTGAACACATTTCAGAAAGGGAGAGGGTTGCGCCCCCTGCCTTCCACTGCTCCTTCCTCCTCTCGGGGTGCTTTTTCGAAAAAGACCAGTCACGTCTCTCATGCAGTAATGGGGAATTGTTGGCTTCCAGCTGTTTTGGACTTCAGTTCTCAAGCCAGAAAGGTCAACATGACAGGATCATTGGATTACAGCCCCAATCATCTGGAAGGCCAGACGTTCCTGGCTCCTAGTACAAGGTCTAGTTTGGTTTTTACAGTCTTGAAAATGGTGTGATATAATTGCTTGCAGTTCACATACAAAATTGTCTTTCCTGTCTCTTTGTGGCATGGTCAAAATGGGTTTTGAAGCACTTGAAAGGAAATCAGAGCAGAGACCATCATAGAAGGGGAAAGAGAACATTAATGGATCAGGCTTCTGAAAAGCTACCGCCTATACATAGCATGAATGTACTAGTTGAAAGGAGAAGGCAAGAGGCCTCTGGTTGTTGCTTTTAAATGGGGTATATTTTGATCAGAACTTGGGGGGAAAATTGTTCTTGTTCTCTTAAAACTGTCAGAATCCCTCAGCCGTGCCAGCTGCAGGTCCCCAGGCGCTATATGAAATTTTTTAAAAATAAATAAAAAAAAGAATTTCTAAGTTCTGACTCACACACTGTAGCTCCTGCAATTCAATTCTGGTGCAAATGTTGTTCATGGAATCTTCCACGGTGGTGCAGACACTGCATGCAGGCATCTAAACACCTGAAGAATTCATTATTTCAAATAGTTGACCCGTGGGTACTATTAAGATAGTGCTCGGGGGCAGATGCCAAGCCCCCTGGACCATTGGTGTAGCAGATCCCAGGGCTCAGAAAGTCCCAAGTAGTGGGGACCTTCCACCATCTACCATCCCTTCAGGCTTTCCTTTCTCTGAGCCTCGCTGCAGCCCTCACAGTATCTCGGAGAGAAAAGGATTTCTCCGGAAGAGTATACGGTTGCAAGCTATCCCTGTTGTAATGCGAAGCGTTTGAGGGTTGTTAGGTCTTGAACAAACAATTAAGAGCAACAAATTTTACAATGTGGTTGGTGGATAGACTGATGGGGCAGGACTCAGGAGAGGTTTGCCTGGCTCTCCCGACAATAGTGTTTTCCTTCTTCTAATAAGGCACTAAAGTGTCTGCATTGGACCCAAGGGTGGCCTATGCTCTGCTACCTCTTGAAGTGGGAAGCAATGTGCCAAGGGTTGGCCGCACAACTTCCAGGATTCGGGGGGGGGGGCAAAAGGCCCTTCTTAAATGAACAGTGCAAATAAATAGAGGAAAAGAATAGAAAGGGAAAAAAATCA